AGTTAAGAAAACCCTAGGGGGCAGTTCTATTCTGTCACATGGGGTCACTATGAGTTGAAATCAACTCAATGGCACCAACAGCAACAACTTTAGGGTCATTTCTGTTTTTCAGGGATGGGGATAAATGGAAAATTTGCTAAGGTAAAGAAACGTGTTCCTGGGAAGAGTGGGATAATTCTCATTGTACCTTCACAGAGCAGTTTACTACTAATCTAATGAGAAAGAAATGTTCTAGTTACCTCCTTAAATGACCCAAACCCGTTGCCGTCAAGTCGATTTCGACTCATAGCAGCCCTCTAGGACAGAGTAGAACTGCCCCATAGGGTTTGCAAGGAGCAGCTGGTGGATTCGAACAGCCAACCTTTTGGTTAGCAGCCTAACTCTTAATCACTGCGCCACCAGGGCTCCTCTTAAATGACAGAATATGTAAATATGTTGTCTCCTTATAAATGATTTTTGCAAATGCTAAATAAAACAAACAAACAAGCAAAAAACAAACACTGTCAAGTTGATTCCAACTCATAGTGACCCTATAGGACAGAGTAGAACTGCCTCGAAAGGTTTCCAAGGAGCAGTTGGTGGATTCGGATTCGAACTGCTGACCTTTTGGTCAGATCTTTTGGTTGAGAGCAGGTGAGCTCTTAACTACTGCACCACCGGGGCTCCAAATGATACAAAGTTTAATTATTTATCCTAGGCTCAGGCTATTTTAATGGACCACAAAATATGCCGTAACTCTTCAATTTGTAACAATCAGAATTGACAACACAATCTCAGTTATCAAAGACTATAAAAAGGCCAAACTTCGCATATTGGTTTTATTACCAAGCTAAGCAGAATGAATCCTTTTAATGTAAGATATCAAGTAGTAGTAAATTTCTGTGTTAACTTTAAACATGACAGCATACTCCTGTAAGGTTTCATGGAGCAGTATGTCAAAGGGCACTCACCCTTGTCCCACGGTAGGCGCTTTCGGGTGATTCAAGCTACCTTTGACTTATTACTTCTGATAGAAGCAAGTATGGTGTCCTCCTTCATCAGTCCCCCTTCAGAAGAAAAAGAAAAAAACAGAAAAAGAAAAGTTGAGATTTCACAATCCTGTGAAAAGTGGTTTTCAATATTTAGGAGACCACTAAAAAGTGGTCTTTCAAGAAGCAACAATCAAGAATAAGAGGATAGACTGGGGATTTATTTTTATCCAACAGGCTTTGCTAAAGCATTGTTTGGTGCTGTGTTTTGCTCATCAAGGAAGGTGAAAGGAAAAATGCAGCATTTACCTCTTTGCAGGCTCAATGACAATTTGGGAAGACAAGAAAAATGTTAGTTATTATAGAATTCGTATCATATAAAACAGGAAATAATTTTATTGATTCAAACACAGGAGTAGGCCCTCAGCCTTCTAAAATTAAATTAAACTCCCTGCACTTAAAGCTGAGAACTCGATAAAGTATAAATCTTTGATACAGAAATGCAGTGTAACAATATATTCTATATTTCTTTTTTCAGTTATAGATGAAGCAACTTGCAAAATATTCCTAAAATACGAAGGAAGGAAGTAATACTTAAATGTGATACAATCATTATATCTCTTTATCCATCAAAGTGGCTGCTTTGGAACTTGCAAAAATATTCCTACAACATAAAGCAAGAAGAATAATATTTAGATGTGATATGATCATTATACATCTTTATTTATCAAAGTGGCTTCATTCTATGTCTCTTCTGGGCTTATGTCTTGCACCAAATATTGGGCAAAACCAAAGTGTTTAGGAAGAAATAAGTGACTCCCATAGCTATTACTCTTTGTAATGGGAGTGTTAAGGTTCAAGCATATCTCCTTTGGGAGTGTTGCGGCCAGTGGAGCATTCCAGGCAGTGTTAACCTTCCTTTTGATTCCATGTTGCCTGACTGTCAATTTCACAGCACTGCCTCTAATCTCAAACGTTTCTTTCCTCTGGGGCTGGAATGCCCCTACAGAACGTTGTACTGAAAAGTTTCATGTGTCACTAGATCTGAGCCTCTTTTCTTTAGTAGGAAGCCCCCGAAAACACATCACAGGACAAAATCTTACAATATTTTATACTGATAGGCTTGGCTACTATCCTTACATTGATGAAAAAACAGGCGAAAGTGTGAATGGAGGCATCCCCCAGATGGAAGACTTAACAAAGCATTTGACCAAAGCTAAGCAAGACATTTCCTATTACACACAAACAAGGCATGTGGGCTTGGCTGTCATTGACTGGGAAATGTGGAGGCCCATCTGGGAAAGAAACTGGAAACCTAAAGATGTCTACAGGAATGAGAGCATTAGGTTGGTTCAGCAACGAAACACACTACTTAATATCTCAGAGGCCACCAAGATAGCCAAAAGAGATTTTGAAAAGGCAGCAAGGAGTTTCATGCAAGAGACTTTAAAATTGGGAAAGCAACTTCGGCCTAATCACTTATGGGGTTATTATCTTTTCCCTGATTGTTATAACCATAAGTATAAAGTGGCTGGTTACAACGGAAGTTGCTTTGATATAGAAAAGAGAAGAAATGATAAGCTCAAATGGTTGTGGAAGGAGAGCACTGCCCTTTTTCCATCCATTTATTTGAGGACTGCCCTACATTCTTCTGACCTCGCTGCACTCTTTGTCCGGAATCGCGTTCACGAAGCCATTCGGATGTCTAAAGTACAAGATGCTAAAAGTCCACTTCCGGTTTTTGTATATGCCCGCCCAGTTTTTGCTGATGTATCTTTGAAATACCTTTCTCAGGTAAGTAAATCAAGGGATGGGGCTATGAAATAGTGTCCACAAATGATGTTTAGTGGAATTTAACATCAGTTTGGAAGGGAGCAAAATTTAGCTTTTAATACCATTTTGGAATGTGTAGAGAAGTAGATCTACCTCATTGTAGGAATGGAAAATAAGAATATGTTTATTTTTAATGTAATCACATAAAATCTTAGAAACTATGAAAATTAGGTAGCAGAGACAATATATTAGTTTTTTTTTTTCTTTTCCTTCATGGGCCTGCTTTCATCAATAGAAGCCACAAACACAGTAACATATAGTGCGGGTTCGTTGTAGTGGGACAGTGGCTGTGTAAAAGGCAGTAATAAACAGTGGGGAAATAATTAAATTATTATCCTTGGATCAACATGCTTGCTGTGGTATTACTGTCCTATGTATAACACTTTCATTTTATTCCCACCTGCTAACTCTTTGTATCACATTTGCCAGGAGGACCTTGTGAATACAGTTGGTGAAAGTATTGCTCTGGGTGTCTCTGGAACTATAATGTGGGGAAGCCTCAATTTAATCCCAAATAAGGTAAGTCGAATTGATAGAAAATGATAAAACCATTTCTACCTTTAATGTTTTTGAGGATTGCTATGGTTGGTACAAATGGTCAGTGTGCTTAACTGCTAGGTTTGAGTCCAACCAGAGGTATCTCAGAAGAAAGGCCTAGCGAACTACTTCCAAAAAAATCAGCCATTGAGAACCCTGTGGAGCACAGTTGTACTCTGACACACATGGGGGGTCCATGAGTTGGAATAGACTTGATGAGAGTTTTTTTTTAATGGTATTGACTAAGAATAGGTACCATGCTTGGCATATAGTAGTAGATACGAAATTAATATTGATTGAATAAAAATATCTTGCATTTCTGTGGTAATGTCTTAGAGAATATTGTGCTTCCTTTCCAGAGGAAACAGAAATTCAGTGAGATTAAATTCTCTCCAGTAAGAAGCAAAAATAAGAGAACAATCTCAGTCTTCTGACATGGTGTTGGTTGGTTTTTCTAATACACAGTGCTGCATCCCTTCTCAAAAGAGCCCCAACTAGTCAATGTGTATTCAGTCATTCTCTCATTTACTCAATGAATGCATTGAACATCTGAGTTATTCATACATTTGGTCAAGCAAACTATAGCCCATGGGCCAAATCTACCCACCACTTGTTTTGTGCAGCTTGTGTGCTAAGAATGGTTTTTGCATTTTTAAATCATCGAAAATAAATCACAAGAATAGTATTTCATAATGTGTGAAAATTTTGCCAAGTTTAGATTTCAATTTCTGTCAATAAAGTTTTATTGGAACATAGCTGTGCTCATTCATTTAGGTGTTTGTCTATGGCTGCTTTTGCACTACAAAGGCAAATTGAGTGGTTATGCCAGAGACTGTGTGGTGCATAAAACCTAAAATATTTACAGTCTGGCCCTGTCAGAAAATGTTTGCCAACTTCTGGTTTATTGAACTCTATTTTGACTAAGTGCCAGCTAATTGACTAGGTGCTAGCTAACTAACTAGGTGCAGGATACATATCAGTGAACCAAACAAAATCCCATTGCTGTGGAGCTACAGTCTCATAACTGAAAATGCAATATATATGGATATAATGTGCCAGGTAATAATGAGTGCAGTTGGGAGCAATGAAGCAGTGTAGGCAAGATGGAGAGTGATGGGATGGTGCCATTTTAGATGGTATAGTCATAGAAGGCCTCTCTGATGACGTGCTGTTTAGCAGAGATCTGAAGGAAGTAAGGGAGCAAGTCTTTTGGGCACCAAACCAAAACCAAACCCATTGCTGTAGAGTCGAATCTGACTCATAACGACCCAATAGGACAGAGTAGAACTGCCCCACAGGGTTTCCAAGGAGAGGCTGGTGGATTCGAACTGCAGACCTTTTGGTTAGCAGCCAAGCTCTTAATCACTACACCACCAGGGCTCTTTTGGGTACTTGGGGACTGTAAATACAATGTCCTTGAGGCTGTAATGTGCTTGGCATTTTCAAGAGAGAGTGATAAGGTCAGTGCGACTGGGATGCAGTGAGCAAGGGAGAGAGTGGTAAGGGGTGTGGTCAATGAGATAGCGGGGGGTCAGATACAGGGCTTCATCGGCCATGATGTGGCTTTTACTCTGAGCTGAGAAACCATTAGAAGGTTTTGAGCAGAAGAGGAGCTGTTTCTGACGAAGATTTTAGAAGAATTACTTAGGGGAGTTGAGAATAGTTTGTAGGAGGACAAGAGTGGAAGCAAGGAGACTGTTGATGATGGCTTGGACCACAGGGTTATTGGTGGTAGTACTGGCAGGTGTTTGGGTTTTTAACATAATCTGACAGTAGAGCTGAGGGATAGAATGGAGGGTGGGATAGGAGGAGTGGTTAAGATGACTCCAAGTCTTTTGGCTTAAAGATGCTGCCATTAGATTAGGAAAGACTAGGAAAAATGGTTTTGGTGGGGGCCGGGCAGTAAGGGCAATGGGGGCAATCAGGATTTAGGTTTTGAAATTCCTACTGAATACACACTAAATTGTTCAAAGATTCCCTAAGGGAAAGGAAAAGAACCACCTCTCCGCTTTTTGCCCCCACAGTTTATATTTTGTAGTATCTCTTCTAAATAAAATTTTAAACAAACTCTTATTAGGGAAAAAATGTCTATTTTGTTCTGTATGGTATGAATTGTATTCATTCTTTCCTGATGCATTCAGTTAGCTCAAAAGGCCTTTCACTATTATGACCTAATCCTTTCTCTCTTCCTTTATTTTCACCCTTGTTTAATTCTCCTTATCAGATCTTCTTCCTCATTTCTTCAGTCCTCTTGACTTGGTACAAGAGTAAAGCTGTTGCATGGACAGCGCTGAGTTGGAGCTGAACTTTTCCTTCTCTGATGGATATTGAAACAGTAGTGACTCATGTGCCATGGATGATGTCTAATGAAGCTCACGGCCCAGGGTTCTATCATAGGATCTATGGAGAATAGACTTCCTACTCTAAGATGAGAAGAGACCTTGGGAAGGATCATATTCACCCCTTGTCCTTCAGACAGAACAGCCGTATTCTTACTTCACTTAAAAGGAAAACAAACCTGTTTCTATCGATTTGATTCTGACTCATAGTGACTCTGTAAGACAGAGTAGAGTCCCATAGGGTCTCCAAGGCTGTAATCTTTATGGAAGCAGACTGCCACATCTTTCTCCCTCGGAGCAGGCTGGTGGGTTCGAACTGCCAACTTTCGGTTAGTAGCTGAGCGCTTAACCACTGCACCATCAGGGCTCCTTCACTTAAAAGTACTTAACAGCAATCACCTTTGTGAAATTCTTTCAAGGTAATCTGAGCCCTTCCTGCCTATTTGGTATAATTCTATCGTCTGGTTTGATCACCAATAAAAAGAGATAACAGAAAATGTAAGTACAGAGAAAGGTATATGTTCTTTAGTAAAATCTTTTGTATCACAAAACTATTTAACAAAAAATCCTCCCGAATATACTCCTAATTTTGTTTATTTTCCCAATTCCATACACTTCCTTCTCAAGGGTCCTATTAATTCTATGATGGAATCATTTATAAATTTTCTATACTACCTTTTGTTTTGAACTGAGAACTCTGCCCTTATGAGGAATGAGTCAGGGATTTCCCAGTGACTAGGATGATGTAAAGTATTGTATAAGTGTCATGCTTGTTTTTAATGGCACTTTAATCTTAGATTCACATTCTTCTACTGTGACTCCTAGGTTATCTTCAGTATTATTTACACAAAGGCAGTGCTTCTCCAATTCCTATTTTGACTATTTTCTACTTGGAATTGTCCCCTGTGGGACTCTGTTCAATAGATTTCTGCTATCTTTCCCAATTTGTGATCATTTTGAATGCTAGTTCTATCATTAGTTTCCCTTTTGTCTATGCCATTTGTAATCAATAGAGTCATGGATTACTGTTTGGTCAGTTTCCTCTGATTCGTTGACAACTTCAAAAACTAGTTATTGCAGGTTTACTTGCAATTACTGGAATTGACCTAAAACAATTGTTTATAGACATAAGCAAACCATTTCCTTCCATCCCATTCCATTATATCCAGAAGTGTGGTGGAGTCAGCTCCTATTGGTTGCAGTTCGAAATACTTGATTGTTAAAATTTCAGGAATTTTGTGAGCCAGTTGTTAGACATAGCCATTATAAAACATTGAATTATAAAAACCTTAGACATTATATGAAAATAAACACATTATATTAAAAACAAAGGTAATACATGCTCAAAATGACTCGATTATTTTACTCCATTTTGCTATTATCTATGCTCTTGTGGTTATTTGCATCTAATGTACCTGTCTAATGAAAACACTATGTAATGGTGTGCTACTCCACACCATACTGCCGTGTTGTATAATGGTGGTGTACTCATTTCCCAATTCTTTATTCAATGATGTCAGGTGGGCATTGGCTATGGTAGGAATATTTACACCACGGAAATTGGCAAATGCTGTAAATGAGGACTTTTGAAGAGTCAGTTGTTAGCTCTTTCCAGAGACTAAATGTTGTGTAGGCTAATGATTCTCAAACCATTCTCATCCCTTTACTGCCCTTTTTGCCTAACTCTTGCCTTCATGGAGTTGAAGAGGCAGCTGCAATGTCATCTGAACCTGGTATAAATTCTCATATGTTGTTGGTACTGTTAAAGATTATTGACAGAGTCTGTGTATTCATGGAGCTTATGTTAAAATTGGAGGGATAGAAACTACACACACAAGAAAAACATTTGATATAATAATTGCTATGCAGATAATTAAAATAGATATGAGAGAATGGATAGGAAAGGTATCTGAAAAGGCCATTGTCTAATCAAAGATAAGATCTGAATGACAAGTTGGAGACAAGACTTATTAAAAATCAGAAGAAAGAGCATTCTGACTAGAGGGATCCGTAAAGTGTAGGAGTCCTAAAGTTTGAAATGAACCTGCCATAGTCTTAAAACAATCACTACATCTGACGTAGAGTAGGCGAGGAGGGTTGTACAAGAGGAAGGAAGGGTTACACCATGTTAGGCTGCATACCAGTCAAGACAAGAAGTTGAATTTTATCCTAAACACCACGCAGAGCTTTTAGAGAGTTATGAAGGGGGATGGTGCATTAGTTTTCTATTGTTGCCATACAAATTACAACAAACTTAGCAGTTTAAATAACACAAATTTATTGTCTTACGGTTTGTAGGTCAGAAGTCCAACACAGGTCTCAGCAGGTTAAAATCAAGGTGTTGGCATGGCTACGTTCCTTTCTAGGGGAGGATGCTCCCTTGCTTATTTGGATTGTTGGCCGAATTCAGTTCCTTGTGACTGTAGCAATGAGATCTCCATTGCCTCGTTGGCTGTCAGCTGAGAGCCTTTTTCAGCTTAGAGACTACTAGCAGTCTTCCTCTATCTTCAAAGCCAGCAATAGCAGACTGAGCCCCTCTCAGACTTTGAATCTACCCGCTTCTTCCCTCTCGTCTTTCTAACCCAGCTGGGAAAGGTTCTCTGCTTTTAAGGACTCAAGTGATTGGATTGAACACACCCAGATAATTCAGAATAATCTCCCCATCTCCAGGTCCACAACCTTAATCATATCTGTAAAGTCTCTTTTGCCATGTCAGGTAACATATTCACAGGTTCAGGGGAATTAGGGTGTGGGCATCTTTGGGAACGTTATTTTGCCTACCACAGATGGCCTCATCTCAAGGGAAGGTAACAGGAAATAGGTTCAAGTTGAAGCTGTCAAGATTTCTTGACGTTTGCTGCTGACCTACATCCACAACTTCCTTTGGTCTGCTTAAGTACTGGCTTAGCCAGCTCAATCAACAGAACTGCCAATCGTGAAAGAAAATGACCATCATTGATGTTTTTAAAAGGCTGGTGTCCAAGTTTTAGGATGCACCAGTCTCACGAT